ACATCTGGACAGATCTAGCCTTATTTGTTTGGTTTTGTGCCTTCATTTCTTTCTAATGTCCAAAAGGTAATTAGATTCAGCTTTTCACTCTTATATGCTAACTTGTAGACCGTCTTCCCCTTTGCCTTGTAATTATTTGAGTGGATGGGATGTAAGATGCCTTCACAAACTGTTCTGTGATTGTCATTGGCAGTGGCATTTGTCCAAAAGTAGGTCCATCAGTTGCTTCAGACCTTTGTTTCCAGAAGTAGGTTTTTAAGAATTTTTTCATAGCAATAAAGAACACGTATTTCATATCACTAGAAATCTGTTTCGTGAACAAACTTTACAACTTTTTGTGTGTAGAAGTTGAGATTTCTTCCCCCTTTTATTAGAAAAATTAAAAAGGCAAAATCACTGTAGCGTATTTAAAGAGAGTGTTAACGCATAGCAGGCTTTCCCTTTTCTGATGCCTTTTATTCCCATCACATCAATGTTAGCTATATTCTTCAAATCTGTTTCAAGTCTCTCATTGATTGAAATGTATCTTAAATGAAGAAAGAAATTTCTCTGGGGTTTACTTTCACAGTTGTAGTTTCTCTTATATTAGAGCAGCATTCATAGTTATCTGAAAACACACTTGTGTGTTGGATTTGTTTGAGAGTTATTCCATCTATGTATAGACCTCTCTCTCCCCCAGTCTCAATCTATTTGTTAAGTGAAAGAAGGAAATTCAGAGCACGCAGGTTAGCTTTCTGTGCTGAACAGCTTTTTGGAGGAGTCATCCCAATTGGCTGAAGATAAGTGTTTTTAAATCAGTGATCCACAGAGCGCTGGTAAAGCATTGTAAGGTCGGTTAACAAAACAAATAGAAAACCAAGTAAGTAAGACTCATACAAACACCCTTCTTTATGTATTAATGAAACAGAGCGGGGGAGGAATTAAAAGTAATACATAAACTTTCAAAGTGTCTTCTTTCTTTGATGCAAATTAAAACAATTGTGAAAGTGTTGAGCAAGATGGTCTTTGCATCTTTTTTCCTAAACGAATAGGTAACTCCTCAAGTAAAAAATGCTGAGAAATGCTATTAGGCAGGAGCTCAGACGGTTAACTTAGCCAGCTGACTTGAATAGTGAGGCTATTCCACTCTTTTTAATGCTGCTGCTTTGTTCTCTGCTTTTAAGTTAACTTTCTGGTTTTTGACCCTGTTTCCAAGTATAGAGGGCAGAGATACCCAAAAACGACTGAAGGCACTGAATGCTGCTGTCTTGAGATTATCCAGGAACATCAAGGAGTTGCAGAATGAGAATCGGAGACTGAAAGAAGATCTAGATCATGTACTTAGCAGTTCTCCTCCTTCCAATAAAACAAAAAGTACGTGTTGAAAAGTTCATGAACCACGGGGCAAGGGATTTGGGTACATTTGAAAGACGTATTTGAGAGCAGGACCCTACAATGGCAGAAATAAGGGAGTTATTACAAAGGTGAAGATTCAGGAAGGGCAAAGGTTGGAATGAGAAGTTTCTGACAGAAGTCTCTCTCTGACTTCTGGATATGCTTCTCCAGTCAGACCTGGGTTTCCTTTAGTATTATCCCTGAGAATTCTGGACTGGAATCAATTGAAGATTTAACATTTCACTGGAAAACTTTTTTCAGTTGTTGAAAACTCATTAATGTGAATGGTTTATATTGATTTCTGAGCTAATTAGTGTAGAATTCAGATATTTTAAGACCGTTCTCATTTTTTCATTGCTGCATATGTAAAGTTCGGGTTCAGAGGTCTTTAGATAGTCTTCTATATGGACAGAAGTTTCAAAAAGCAAGAACAATGTTGACTCACTGATATAGTTTCATGCTTAAAGCTTTGTTATTGTATTTAGATTATAGTGAGTGGAGCAGACAGAGGCTGGTGAGGCGGATTTCAGAACTAGAAAAAGTAAGTGATCATAATGATGTAGCCAACTTACCTGTGTTTGAGCAGAAAATGCAGAACCACTGGCTTGTGCTCGTGGCATGTAGTCCTTCAGTGTACCAGACGTGTGCATTCTGGCTCATACATGTAAACTGATGTCTGTACCGTGTGCCCTTGCTCCTTTCTTTTCTCATACTTGTTACATATAGATGCACATTTTAGAATTTACTTCCATTTGATCTTTTCTCATGACCTAACTAAAATTTTATGCGAAATTTAATTTTCTTCCTCTTTTTTTCTTTTGTATTTTTGTGTAAATTTATCCTGTTTAGAAAGTATGTGCCATGGAGAACACCAGGGTGTCATCAGCAGATAGTGAGTCATCACAGTTACTTGCTGTGTCATCTTCACCTTCTGTAGACCTGGATCATCCAGCCTCTCAACAGGTAGACCATGTTGAGGAATGTCGTCACCTCCAAGGGCTAGTGAAGAAACTGAAGAGTGATAGGAAGGCACTTCAAAATCTCCTACTCAATAAGGAGTAAGTGCGACTCTTGTCTGAGATGTTGTTCTTTTGTAGGTGTGAATTATTTAATTATTGCCTATCATGTTATGAATTGATGTAGTAAGTCCTTCACATCTTCAGCAAGAAAACAAATTTTGAGGGTCCCTTCAGCTTTTATTTCAAAAGCTTCTTATAGTCCTACTAGTGTTGTAACATGGCAGACCAAAAAGTCAGTGAGAAGATGGAAAATGAGGATTTATGCTTGTTTCTAACACATTTTTTTAAGGCATGTTTTTGTGCCAACCATGCTGAAAAGCCTTTGGGAGGGCTATATGTCACTTTACGCAGCACTTCCTACAGGTATATTGCTGTAAAAATTTGTCTTGTTTTTTCAACATGTTATGTCCTGATTTACCACTTTCTCCATTTAAACCTGCCGTGTGCCATATGATGCACTGTGACTTCTTTTCTCCCCAGTAAGCAATCGATTTGCAGTTTGTATTGCTTGGACTCATTTGGTGTGTCAGCGCATAAGGGCAGGCAGGTTAATCTGATCATGAGCAGAGATGTGCACACAACTATGTATTCTTGATAAGGCACTCTGCCTCCTGCCGCTGAACAAAAACGCATAGTGAGGGCGTGCGAAGGGGTCTTTTGCTTCTGAACAATGTACGCTTGCGTTCTGTTTAAAAGGAGAAAGTAAACATTTAGTTACTTTAAAAATTTAAGAACCTATTTTATTTAGAAGTTTAAACAAAAAATGACTGCTTTGTTGAAGTATGAATGTCTTAAATATTGCTTAGATTTCCTTATACCTTTGTAGATTGGATATCAAGCAGTTACTGGAGGCTAAGGCTGAAGTGGAGCTGGAGCTGCAGAAGTGCCAGAATAAGATGGAAGAAAAAAGTGCAGAAGAGCAGACTTTAAGGTATCATATTTTGTATTAGTAAACCCTTTCAGAACCAAAAAAATACCTGTTAAAGTATAATTCTCTTTTGAAGTGGCTCAAAATCCTTAGGAGTTCATCTGAACTGCAGGAAGCTGGGAATTCATTTAAGCAGAATTGTTTTGGAGGGATGGAGTGAATTACTAGGGGAAGAATTCCCCAGAGTAGTTTTAAAGGAAGTAGAAGACTAAAAAGTATAGTAAAAATAAGAATTAAATCATAATAAAAATAAGATAAATGGAAAAAGAAAGCTGATGTGTGGGGCTCAGAGACATGTTTTTCTTTTCTAAGAAAAAAAACTATGGTATCTTCACCTTACCTTAGCCTATGCTTCTAGACCATTGTCGGTATGTCATTCCACTTACTTCATGTTCTGAATAACTGTTGATGATAATCCTGCACAAAGGTGGCAAAAAGTTATTTCATTATTGCTTTGTAAGAAAGGACTTTGATACAGTTTCATATTTGTCAGTCATCAGATCTGTATGAATTTATTAATAGTATCAAGGGAACCACTGTAACCTTGGGAGTACTTTGTGGTTTTGTTTTTTTTTTTAATTTGAACATAAGGCTGTGCTGTCACAACTTGAGAACTGATGTTATGTGTCTGTTACTGTAAGAATATGTATCATGTTATCCTGAGCAGTTCCCTGCTTTGGCCTTTGAAAAAACCAAGCAATGAAATTTTATGAAATAGATTCAGTATTTTCAAATCAGGAACCACAGAAGAATTCTAGCTATAAATATCTTTGCTTTTCCAACCATAGTGAGGAAATCCAGAACCTGACACAGAAAGTAGGGAAATTGGAGTCAAAATTGGAGGAAGAGAAGAGACAAATGGCAGAAGATACAATGGAAAAGCTTAATAAGGTACAGACACATGCTTTTGTTTGTGGGTTTTTGGGTTTTTTTCCCTTGCATCTAATTAATATATTGCAGATTGAGCTGATAGTCTAAATAACTGCTAGATGTCTTTTCAGAGAGGCATTAAATCTTGTAATAGAGATTCTGAATGGTGGTTAATTCATAGCGTTTGTTGATAAGTTGTTTCAATAATGACCACTGCAACTTGGAGTTCTTTTGGAGCTGTTCTCTTGGTGATTACCTGCTCCAACATTGCTTTTTTCTTATTCAGTGCAATGTTGCAAAAAGCTTATACTTTAAAGTGTTTGGGTTTTTTGCCTTTCTAAGGAAAAAAAAGACGACATTTGTTGCTTTGCTTGTATCTTCTTATACCATCTGAATCCATTAGCTAATTTCAGTCCAATTTTGTGGAGAGAGGGAGGTCTTGTAGGAGTTGACAGATAAAGGATAGAGACATAAGTAAGTGTGCTCACTGGCAGACTGGCAAAAGACAAAAAACCCTTTTCAATGATTTTTATGCTGTTCAGGTGATCAGTTAGGGCACATATGCTGTCCCATCAGAAAATATTCACTAGTCTTTCTGTTTGGATCGAAGCAGGGTAGGTGTACCGGATGTAGAGCACTAATCATCATGAAAATTGAGATATTTTAATTCCTGTGCTGATGGGACACCTTATTTGGGTAAAGAATTAGGGAAGATGACAATACAAAAAAATAAACCCTTATCCCTGTTGAAGTGAAGTTTTTCTAGAGTTAGGGTATTCATAACCTCTTCTTTCTGGATTTTTCAGTATCTAATAGATATAATTGTGCATCTGTTAACCCTGGACAGTCTTAAATGGGGCTCTGTAATCAGTTGGGATTTTTTTTTGTGAAATGTGACAGACCTTGATATGTTTGCCATCTTCTGTCCCTCTGCCAAATGTTGTTGTAACTGGCCAGTAGAGATGAATGGGCACTGACAGACATGCTTTCAGGTGCAGTGTGGTCATGTTAATCTCATTTCACTAAAAACCAGTTGAAAGTTATTACTGGGGATTTTAATCATTTGTACTTAAAAATAAATAGACCCTAAAGTACAGGTATTAAAAATATGAATAAAAAAGTCCGCTAGCTTAAGAGGGTGCTGGTTTCTTATATACTGTGCAATTCTTTAGATTCTTTTTTTGTGTGTTATAGGCTGATGCATGCTAGATGATGTTTTGAATACCAAATAACTTGAGTCTTTAAAAACAGCCAATAAACAGCTCCTTTTTTTTCCTCTGCAGACTATATATATATTCTTGGCCAGTAACCATCCATTTATTGAAATGTTCCCATTATTTGTAATTATCACTAAGTTCCTACCAATTTTTCATTTTAATAGTAGGTTGTCATTTTTACTATAACATGATCCATTTGCTAAACTTAAGCCTGTAACTCAGCATTTTTAAGTTATAAATAAATCCCTTTTCACACAATCAAGAGGTTTTTTTCAGTGTCTATAAAATCTCTTGTTCCTCTACTTAAAATTTTACACCAACAAATTAAATTAGTCTTTTAAAATTGCAGTTAGTCTTTGGCAAGTGAGGTATGACAATTTGTATGGGATAATTAGGGATCAAAAGGATCAGATGGTGAGAGGTGGCATACGCAACCACATCTCAGAAGAAATAACTGCAGCAAAATCTTGCTTTGTTCTTGGTTTCTTTTTCTTCTAATTTCTTCAGGATAGAGGAGTAGAGTCATGCCAATTTACACAAGCTCTCCATCTTCTCAGTGTCATATGATGGCCAACTCATCAGTAAGCTTAAACAGATGATTATGGGGCCACAGGTGCCAGGATGAGACATTAGAGAGCTCCCTGGTTAATTAATACTAGTCTTTTCTGGAGAAGAATTGCGAAATTAGATATCCTGACACTTGTTCTCAGTCTGTCGATAACATAAGCCATTTCGGATCAACAAAGCAGCGGGTTCCACTGATAGAGCTATTATTGCTTTAGCAATGCACGCAAATAGGAGTGTTTGTAAATGAAAACCTTTCCATTCCCATGCTCTGCTAACAGCTAAAATGGGGACAGGAACGTGTTTTACTGTCACAGTTATCTAGATGATGAGTTTGAACATGAGCAGTATTCAGAACTAAGAGTTTCCTCTTTAACTTCCTTCCCTCCTGCAGGCAGGATGAACATTTAACAACTCTGGTGTTGATTTTTCTGATTCATTTGTAACCTGTTTCCCTCATAGAATTCCAACTTGTGTCTTTAGTGTACTAAGTTAAAGATTCTCCTTTGCAGTCTTTGCCAGTCTGCATGGTGAAAGGCAAAGAAGATCACAGGAAGGAACAAGCAGCCAAAATAATCCAGAGACAGTGGAAGATGTACCGAAATAAGGTGAGGTTCCCCTATCAGGGAGCAGTGAGGACATCCTCCTCTGAATCTTACTCATGTTTTAGCATGTACAGTAACCTGCAGCCAGGCTCCAGGAACTGCAGCAGCGCTTCCCAGTATGTATCTTCTTTTCCACTGTTTTTTTCAAGTCCTCCCTGCCACTCTTTTGCCTTTGCTCCCTTGTACTCTGTTTCTGCTGCAAGATAGCCTGTTGCTGAATTGGGGAGTCCGGGTGAGCAGAGAAACTAAAGCAGCATACCAGTGCTTGAAGCAGCGCTGCTGCTGCTGTTGCCTCCTTGGAGTACAACTGAAAAGTTAAATTCCCCTTGCAGAAATCCTCCAAACAATACAGGAAGTCTTGTGTACTGAGTTACATTCAGCTAGGACAAAATGATGTAGAAAAAAAGCTTTAACCTTAAATTCTGTTCTATGGGCAACATCATAATGTTGCTTTTTCCACATATAGGACATATGATGTGAGGTGGGTCTTGTAATTGCTTCTTAGGAAACTAAAGACAAAAGAACTATCCACACATCTTTCAAAGATGAAAAGGTTTTGGTTTTTTTTTCCTTACGTTTGTTGTTTGACTTTTCAGGGGGAGGTGGGACAGGTATTTTCTGTGTGTTTTAATTGTTGGGGAAAAACTGGAAAATCTTTATTAGGTAAAACTTGTATATATTTGTGGCATTAACTTAGGCATTTTTCATTTCAGAAAGAAGAAGTTGCTCTGGATGAGGTGAGTGTGTTTTATGATACCCAACAAAGCAGTAAAACAGGTTTAATTTCTGTCAACACACAAACAAATAACTTTTTTATTTTTAAAGAGCCTTTATCGTAATATGAACTATTGTACCAAGATCATGTTTGTTCTTCAGGCTGGCTCATGATCTTCCTTCTGACATCCTGGTTTTGTTTGGTATATCTGGTCCAAGTGTTCCCCTTTTGGTTTCAAATTTTCTGTACTTGGTACCTTCTGCAAGACGAACGCCTCTGAAAATTTTGAACAATTTTTGACACAGACAGGAAAGCTTTTCCTATGTTAGGTAGTTCTAATAATGCTTTCATTTTTGCTATGATGAGTCTTCGGAAAGGTTTGAAGTAGGAATTTGAAGCCTTTGCGAAGGAGAAACGTCTCTGAGTATTATGAAGAAATTGACTTCGATAAACTTGTCACTTTTTAATAAATGTTTAGCACAAAGATTTTGGTTAAACTGTTTTTCAAATAGCACAATGTAGCATCTTACATTTGTTTCTTCCAGAACATTAAAAATCCTACTTTCAGAAATTAGAATAAATTCTAACCACGTGATGCAAATGTGGTGTTTTACATCTAGATGCTTTTTGTTGATTAGAATCCAGCAAAATCTCTGAGTAGAGAGGAAAGACTTATATTCAGCGTAATCACCCCAGTGGTCTGCCAGACTTGGCTCGATTTCTGATTGTATCAGAGCATCACCGAGCCTGCTGGGTAGCCAGAATCTAATATGGCAATGGGAGCACGTTGCTCTATTTTTGAAATACAGGCTAGTGTTGGCAGCTAGAATTTAACTGCATTTGATAGGATCAGTCATGAACACCTCCCAGATTGAATTTAAACTGTGGAGGTGTACGTCTATGGGTTGTCTGGATTGCAGCAGAGTACCTGTGAACTAATGGAGATGTGTGTGCGTCACTTAAACATAAGAAAATGTCAAGGCATCAAAGAATTTCCATTGCACAGGGAAAAGTTATTTTCCCCATGTGCCTCGTCCCTCTGGACTCTCTCTCTCTCTCTCTCTCTTTTTTTTTTTTTTTTTTTTTTTTTTTTTTTTTAAATTTATACCTGTCAGCTTTCAAAGGAGCTAACGTCTACTTATTTCTTTCCATGCTAGGCAGTTGTTATGCTTCAGGCAGCTTTCAGAGGACATTTAGCTCGAAAGAAACTGTTACTGAATAACAGGATGCATGATGCAAAATCTCCCAACAAGGTAATTGTTGGGGCAAGTGGGTATCCAGGCATCCATTATGTTTAGTTTACTGTGTAAAGTACTGCACTTCCAGACTTAATTCTCTTAATCACCCAGTGATGTTGTTTTAATGCAGTGGTTGGCAACACCACTGTAATTCCAGAAAGATATCGAGCTCATTCCCTACCCTTCCTTCCCATCTTCTTTAGTTCACAGTTTTTCTTAGAAGTAAAGCTATAACTTCTCTGCATTATGGACTGTAACTAGGTCTCCTCTTTTCTTCTGGTTCTCCCATCAGCTGATAACATACCCTTTAACTCTTTAATTCGGAGTACTATTGAAAACTGTACTTGCTCTCAAGTGTTCACTGAATCATTGTAGTAATAGACAAACTTTTGTCACTGAAGTTCAGAAATAAGAATTTGGAAAGCATCTTTGACTGGATTGAAAAGTAAAGGAGTCTTGCATGTGGCATGCTCAACCAAAGACTCAATAGTGTCCTCTCTTATGTCAGATTGGCTCCAGATTGCTCAGTTCTGAATATGAAAAAATTTCCTTGCCAGTTAAACTTTCTGTTTCTGTAAATCATTTGCCAACTTGTATGGACCTTTAGCAGGCAAAAGTTCATTTGTAATTCTTCATCCAGGTTGTCCATCTGGTTGCACTTTACATGCACTTTTATTTCAGTAAACTGACCCAATGTAGTAGGGCTGAATACTTTTGCTTGATACAAGCAATCCATCATGAAGGCTGCCTTACCTCCTTTGAAAGGTTTCCTTCCTGGAAAATAAATGAACTTTCCTTGCAGGTGTCTTCTCTTTCATTAATTGAATACAGATGCTTCAAAGCTTGCATGATGATTAGATTTGCATTTCCTG